AAGCCAGGAACAGGAAGGAACCCCGACGGACCTTATTATACTGCAATATCTGAGCTTGAACGTGCATAGGAGACAAAATAAAAACCAACCAAAAAGGTAAAACTACGAAACAAGTAAAAACGACCAAATACATACGGCAAACCAAAAGTAGATGACTACTATTTGGAGCATGCTCCTTCTGAAATTTATATATTAATAAATATAGTATTAGATGCCAAATTAGCAAGTAGTCGTTTAAGAAAGAAAGAATCAGTTTTTATTTCTCATAGCACGCCGAGTCTGCTCCTTATTGTGCATTATATTATACCTAACACACCTTAATTAGAAGCATGCTTTCATGTGTGAAAACATTGGGGGTGCTTTGCCAACCGCACTACCATCTTCGTTTTAAAAATTAATTGGATTATTGGAAGAAGATCCATGCCTAGTTTGAAAATAAACACAAATGTGTAACTTTATTCTAGAGTTCAAATATGAAATTTGCGTAGTGCGTTGACAAAAGGGACATTGTGTCTTGCGTGTTTTGTCCATGACAACGACCTTGTTTCTCTCAATTGTTTTTGGCCAAATTATGTTGAAAATCCGACACAACCATATTAAATTAAGAGAAAAGATGAATCAATTTTTATATATATGTGTGTGTGTGTGTGTGTGTAAAGTGCGACCATGATTGGTAAAGCAAAGAAAGAAGGGGATATCAATGGGGATGTGTTCTGTTTACCGATGTGTGATGTTATTGATTGTGTTCATCGCCTCCATTCTTGTTATCATCCAGTTTACTGAAGCTACTTCTTCAGGTTTGTCTTGTGTTTTTCACACAACTGAAATAATGCCTTCAACTCAAATTTGGGGCCTAACTTTGTTTTTGTGTGTGTGTGTGTGTTGTTTATGCAGATATGAAGATAAGGAAACTGGGTAATTTGCCAAGTTCACCTCCTGTACCCGTCGGATCGCACAGTGTGCCTCCGGCAAATGGCTATTAACGCTAGTCATTGATGATCATTGATGTGTGTGTGTAAAAGTCAGTAAAACTGAATTAAATTAGTATCTACTGTTACATTATTACGCAAGTAATAATTTCTTTTTTATCATTAAAAAATGTGTGTCCTGCAATTAGTTAGATGTTCAGTTTGGTTTGGCGATGGACGGCATCTCAAGGCTTCTCCATTTTCAATTAATAAACGTTCCAACTCTTAAAGAGAAGACAAGAAATTATATGAATTAATTTGATGATCGAAATAGTCTTAGCTTGAAGCAACAAACAAATTGATGAGGACTCTCTCTCACAAGTAGCGATACATGCTTGAAGGAACCAAGAAAATTAATTAACAAATCAGGGCACTTTTCCTAAGTTTTATTAATCAAATTCTTGATTTATTTAAGGTCGTTAACAATGAACTCCGTCAACATATAAAAGACCTTTGTTTAAGAGATTTATCTGCTGAAGAACAGAATACTGTTGTGGCTGATTGGGTTAGTGATGGTACACGGGATTTTTCAAAGTTGCTCCATGTGGTTCAGGCCAAAGTTTTGGCCAGACTCACTTGTGTTATGATCCCTTTTGATTCTGCTGGGGAGGATGTTTTAATGTGGAAAGCTTCAAAGGCTGGCATTGTCAGTATAAAGGGTGCTTATTTTCTTATTGAGGAGAATCCTATTTCTCTCTACAGTCAGATTTATAAACTTATTTGGAAATGGAGAGGTGCAGAAGGGATTCGGGTTTTCATTTAGAGAATCTTTAATTTCATGGTAGACTTCCTACCAATCTTTGGAGAAGCAGATGGTCTCAATGTTCTCCCTTGTGTTCTATTGCCTCAACGTATGGAAAGCATTTTACATGTTCTTAGAGACTATGACTATGCAAAATCTGGGCGGGACTCTCTTGTACATCATAAGTACGTGAACAGATTTTTTTCCGGCATCTATGAGAGAGTGGATTGCCCTTAATCAGGAAAACATGGGTCTTGATGGGAATGATGATTGGAATTTGGTCTGGGGATTTTCAATATGGAAGCTTGGGCTTTGGAGGAATGAAGCAACGTTGGACGCTAATTTTGTAAAGCCTCCGGATCCTACTGCTGTGATCAATCATAGCTAGCAAAATTTTACGGTTGTGACTGAACCTATGATACATGCTGTGAAGGAGTCTACGGTTTGCTATGTTTCTTGGTCTCTCCGCCTCAAGGATGGTTCAAATTAAATGTTGACGGTGCTGTTTCAAAATCCTCCGAGAAAGCTGGTTTTGGAGGTGTTATTACAGATCATTTTGGCAATTGGATTATTGGTTTCTCTCTTCAAATTGGTTCATGCAGTGTCCTTGAGGCAGAAGCTTGGGCTATTTTTAAGGGCTTGAAGTTGGCTCGGGATTTTGGATTCAAAAAGGTTGTACTTGAATCTGATGCAAAGGCTTTGATTGATTATCTAGCTGAGAATAATCCCAGCTACTCTTGTAGGCTTTTGTTAATGCAGATTCATAATGTGCTGTAAGTACAACTGGGAGATCAAGCTGTGTTTTATTGGAAGGCAGGCTAATGAAGTTGCTGATGCACTAGCCAAACAAGGGATCTCTGCTTCCTCCTATTTTGATATTTGTCCGAGTCATATGCGAAATTTAGTTGAGAAGGATTGTTTGGGGTTTAATTCCACTTAGCTTTCTATAGATCGTTTGCTTATGTACCAGAAGAAAAAAAAGACTCCGTCAACATATCAAGTTCTGCTACATGTTAATACTTATTAAAAGTACTCCTCCGATCCTAAATATAAGACTCATTTTGTAGTATAATCCTAAATATAAGACCCATTTTGTAGCATAAATTATACTACAAAATGGGTCTTATATTTAAGACCGGAGGAGTACTTTTAATTTTGACTCAAGCCAAAGTCTCAGCTCTAGCTATCTTGCCAAATTTTAAAGCCTCGTCCAGTATAACATATGATAAGGCTGAATAAAACCAAAAACTGAGGCCTTGAAATTGTTCGAGTTTACAACTCATGATGAGCTTCTCATGCACCGCGCATCGTTACTTCATATCTTTCCCAATCGTTGAAACGGAGCAGACTTAGAACCCTTGTGGACTGTCAAATGTCATTGCTGTCATCAGAAAGGGTTAGATCCAAGCACGCTCTGACCTCGACAAATCAATGTATTTTGTTGACTTTTCAGTTGCATATGGGTTCGGTGCATTGCACAAAGTTTAAGAAACAAGTCATACTATTTAATAATTTAATATTTTATGTATTACTACCTACCCATTTTTCGGGCCGCATCAGCCACCTTTTACGTCTGTCCTGGAAGTCTGGTTGTAGCAGTGACACATGTTTGCATCTCTATTTCTTTTATTTTGATGTTAGTTATTATGCGTCCAATCCTAAGTTTTCATCTTCTGATCATTCTTATTATTATTAAGGGCCTCATATAGTTCGAGATTGATGTGATGATGTCTCATATGTGAAACAATACGCAGCAATTTCTTGCCACAGATTTTTATAAGTGCTACATTATTAGTGATATTTAATCATTAATTTCTTCCTCCATACTCACCAAATTAAAAGTGGATGCATGGAAGGTGGATTTTCGTCAAATGTGAAAATGATGATGTTATATTGATTTGTTTTGTCAAGGTAACTGACGTAATGTTTGCATTTTATACCCATAATTATCAATAACTCACAGAGTCATTGACATTATGAGCTGGCTTGGCTTTAACAAATGAAATCATACTGTTTAGTGTTCAACCCGAGCCTTGCACCTAGTCAATTCTGGGGACTCACCTGCCCGCCAACATTTTCCTGCTAAATTTAGTTGACTTGGGGGTTTAACAGGGCACGTTATGGTCGGTAATGAGAAAAAATGGAGAAGCTAATTATGAAAATAATTATCCAGGACCTGCAAATTAGTATTGTGTCCTGCTTGTGAATAAAGTTAACCACTTCGCATTTCACAAGAAATGCTGAAAGTAGTTGGTGTCCTTAACCTTGTACAAATATGTACATATATTTAAGTTTGTCCTTCATTGAAGTTAATGTCCAATCGTCCGTAATAAAGTATTGAACTAGAATTAATATATAACACACCAACTATCTGGTGCAATATATATATATATATATATATATATGAAGGGCAAGATTGGAAATATAATAATAACATCACATTTTTGCCCTACATTTTAAATGAAGTAGGGCTTTTTAACTTTGGCATAATTTTAGATTGGATGGAGTAAGTACCTAATATTTTATACTGATTAAATTCAGTGCGTTCTGACCAAAAGAAATACGGTCGGCATTATAATAGTTATGTTATGTTATGCGAATCAACTATTAATACTCACCCATCACTCACTAAAAAGATCCACACATTAAGATACTTATAACGTAACACAACATTTATTATAGGGTACCTACATATCAATTATCAATAAGATCATCACAATGACAACAGAATTTGAATTTTGAACATACGTCCTTATGGGATAATGAATCACGTTCTTACCAGCTGAAAATTATTCAACATATAATAATATAATCATAATAATAATAATTTTTATAAAATGCTAATTTGATGAAATAATGGCGATGGAAATTGGAGAATCCTAGCCGTTTAATTTCTTGTGTTATAGGTCACCATGTTTCCAAATTTTCCACTTCCAGTCTTTAAATTTGTCCAACGTGCAGTTACATAAGCTCCTTATAATGCATCATTCCTAACATATATACTTTGGAAGCATGCTTTATTATATTATCAGTTTGTGTGAAAACGTGCTGGCTGCTTTGCCAAGTCCACCAGCATCGTCGTTTAAAAAATTAATTGGATTATTTGAAGAAGATCCATGCCTAGTTTGAAAGTAAACAAACAAGTGTGGTTTTATTAATAGAATTCAAAGGAACTGTTTGCATATTGTGCGTTGACAAAGGGATAATTGGGTCTTGCGTGTTTTGTCCATGACAATGACCTTGTCTCTCTCGATTGTTTTTTGCCAAATTATGTTGAAAATTCAATACAACTATACTAAATTCAGAAGAAACATCAATGAATTTATATATATAAACTGGAGGTGCGACCATGATTTGATAAAGCAGAGAAATTAAGAAGGGGAGATCAATGGGTATGTCTCTTGTTTACCGATGTGTGATACTATTATCGATTGTGTTCGTTGCCTCCATTCTCGTTATCATTCAGTCCACTGAAGCTTCTTCAGGTTTGTGTTCTGTTTTCCACACCTTTCAATGCTTTCAATCTGCAAATTTGGCACCTCCCTTTGTGAGTGTGGTGATTTTTTTTTTTTTTTTGGGCAGATATGAAGATGAGGAAGCTGGGTGATTTGCCAAATTCACCTCCTGCACCCATCGGCTCTCATCATTTGTCTCCGCGTCGTGGCCATGGCCGCTAGTCATTTATCTTCATACAGGCATACATATAAACTGAATTAAATTTACTCTTACATTATCACGCAAGCAATCTCTTTGTATTGTTGAGATAATGTGTCCCAAATTAACGGGGGCAAGATCTTGTTATTTTATGGAGGAAATGAATAAATTTTCAAATAGGCATGCAATTAAATGTTAAGTTTGGCGATGGCGTCATAGGTCTTCTCCATGTTGAATTAATGGAGTTTCCAACTCTTAAAAAAGAGAAGGCAAGAAGAAATCACGCTCACCATAATTCTAAACCTGACGGCCAGGCGGCAAGTTAATCCGCTGGCGCGAAGCAGGTTTTAGGTGGTAATGACAATAGTTTGCTATTAACCGGGCCAGGGTTTTAACACGAAGCCCAACATTATATGGACCCCACCAAGATTTAGAGGCATAAAAAACAGCTTAACCTAAGGAATGCGGGGCTTTACCCCAAAGGGAGCCCTTCCAGAAATTCTCAAGGGCCTAGGCCAAACCCAGGCCCAAGAGGGGGTTTGGAAATAGTTTTCAACCAGCAATAGACGCGCATCGGTTAGAACCTCACTAGCTGCGTCATTGCCCCAAGCGCAAAGATGAACTCCCACGTTTTTCTAGTCTCTCTTTTATACCCATCCTCGTAGCCCTCGCCCTTTCATTAGCCGATGTGGGACATAGAACGAGAACTTGGCTGTGCCCTGTAAGGCGCTCCGGTACACGTACGGTTATGACGGCCACGTCTTCACATATACCTGCTTTATCTAATAAAGCATCTAATTTACCCCTTAAACAGTCCACATGATTCTGATTGAAGGCGCTAAGTAATGGCATTTGACATTCTATTTGTGAGAGAGAAGGGTCTCAAAATCTGTCCGAAAAAATTGGACTATCATCAACATTGCTCTCGCACACCTTCATTAATAATATATTCCCAGGTATTGGGTGTTGGCCAATAGATCCTTCAGAAAGTTGTGTTCCTCTTCTTTATTATTGTGTTTCATGTTTAAAGGATTTTAGGGCATACTTAGAATTCTACAAATTTTTCAGTATGTACATGTTGTGTAGAATCTATTACAGTCTCTGAGTTATACAATAAGTGACATCAAATCAACCGAGAGAAAAGTTAAACATTTATTCATCTGTATCTCCAAAACCAACTTCCTCAGACATATATACTCCCATGTCTTCTGTATAAGTAATTACTAGGATTTGAATTTTAAGTCATAAAAGCAATACTCCCTCTTATAGGTGACATTAAGAAATATAATAGGGACATGTGATATTCTCTAATCCTATTTTTATGGGTTTGTTGAATCTCATGTAACAACTAATTATTCATATTATTAAATACTCTTTTAATGGTCTTTTTTCAATCTCAATCCCAACCCTTACCTCTTATTCTCAATGCTTTGAACCAAATCGGATCCTAGCTCCGAGTTTCTTAATTTACCTCAAATATAGGGTTCCTAATAGAACTCACCCTTAACTTCCTAGATTTTAAAGACTTCTGTAAGATGAATTTCAATTGATTGATTTTATCGAACACATATAATAAGATCAATACAGATGATAGAAGAAAACGAAGCTAACTAAACGAACACAAACAGATGGAATTAAAACAGCACATATACAAATCGAGGTGGCCGGATGGACTGGACTTGAGAGTTGAAATGAAGGTCTAGCGAGGGTTCTCTACTTACCGTCGTACACGCAATTAGGTTAATATAAGCACATCATAGTTCATAACGCGGTTTTGTGTGAGTCAGTGACGTAAAAGGTGGTCTCTATACAACGTTTTCAAATCTAGAGGATCAAAACTAAAGTCAGTCTTTTTGGTCAAGTTGATCAAATGTTACGTACGCTACATATTTAGACTTGAAGTTAATTTCTTTAATGTTTCTGCAAATCTTAATATTTCATTTTACAAGACAGACCCAAAAAAATTGACAAGTCTCCGATAAAATCGGGTAAAAGTTCCACATATAGTTTTTTCTTTTACCTGAATAAGCTCCATATAGAGTTGTCACGCAATTTTTTTGGTGATTTGTATCAAATGTATAATTAAGATAGTTTTGATATGTTCAAAGCTTTAATCCATCATTTAAAACAAATTACCGAAATCAAAAACAGTAAGCAGAAAAAGGTGTTCCGCTGGTAAAATAAAAAGCTTAGATTAATTTTACCATATATTGATACACACACACACACATAATTCCCTTGTGCACGCGCACATAATTTCCTTGTGCATATATATCTTAGGTCTTCAAATCTTAGATTAGAATTTCCTAGGGCATAGAGGTTGATCTGGTAAAATCAATGTCAACAAGTTTCTTTTTACTATCTCCGATCCTAATTATAAGAACTAGTTAACTAATTTGAGAAGATTAAAAAAATAAGTTAAGTTAATTATTTGTCATAAATAAGTGTTATCTTTCCTAAAATATTTTTATTAATCAAGTGTATTGACTAGAACTATTATTATTAGAATGACTATCTTGGGAAAAGTGTATAAATATGAGAGACAATAAGGGAGTAGTTAGTCCTCCTATATTAAGGGAGTAACCCTTAATCTGTTTGGCACAAAGGAAATGGAGAGGAGGAGATGAGAGGAAAAATTTTAACGAACTTGATTTAAAAAATTGATAAAATGGGGTTAAAAGCTTTTAATTAATTTTTTTTATTCTTTTATCTTAGATATTCTCTTCATTAAAATTTTATAATCTAACTTCTCTAATTTTTTAAATCAAACTCACTAAAATTTTTTCTCCCTTTTCTTGTTTCCAATTCTCTTATACCAAGTACAGGGTAACTAAACATTGTAGGTTTTTACCCCAAAGGGAGCCCTTCCAGAAATTCTCAAGGGCGGTTTGTGTTCAGATCGAATTTGTCTCTCTGTTGAATAACTTTGTTTTCCTTCTTTTAACTTTTACACAGAAAAGGCGACACCGAAAGTAAACTCGTTAAACATTGTGTACGGGAGTTTTGGTGATCATTTCGCAGAGATAGGCAAGAGGATTAGGAAACTGGGTGCGTTGCCAAGTGCGGGGCCCCCACAGGTGGGATCTATTTCGTTAAGTCCGGCAGCAGCAACTTCGTTAAGTCCGGCAATAGCTATGTGTATAAATAATATGCACGTCAAGAAAACATGTGTAAATGGATAGCCACATTGCAATAAACTACTCCTTCGGTCCTAAATATAAAACTCTTATACTAGTGTGTATAAGGGTCTTATATTTAAAACCGGAGGAGTATTTTTCCACTTGTATGAGCTAGGGTTTAGTATAGCTAATAAACTTCTACTTGTTAGTAATTTGATGTGATGCAGGAAATCAAATATCACTGAGATCCCCCCCTTCTTTCTGGTGTGATGTGTGAGCGCACTCATATATTATTTTTATCATTTTTTGTAGTGATTTTTTTATTTGCCAACATTCTTTTGTAGGTGATTCATATAGTCATATCAAATGAGTTCTTATAACAAATAAGTTGAAGTTTGAACCATTCTCAATACTTGAAGAAATCATTCTAGTCATTAGCCCCCCTTAGGCTTCCAAGACTTTTACACCTTCTAATTTTGGCCCTCTAGTAAATTATAAGAGGTGCTCTGGTTACCCATGAACATTGATCTTAATAGGGTTAAGGTGCACCCAACACCCCAAACTATTTTTTTAGGTACATCCAGTGTCTTAAAGTAATTTTCGGTGCATCCAGTGCCCCAAACTAATTAAAACAGTACGCCCATATCCCAGATTAATAGAAAAGTTAAGTTTGACCGTTACCTTGCTGACTCAACCAAAGGGTGACCAAAAAATCCTACATGGCAAATACGCAGGTGACTGATGTGTGTTATTTTGATGGGTTAAGGTGCACCTAGTATCCTGAACTATTTTTCCAGGTGCACCCAGTGTCCTAAAGTAATTTTTGATGCATCCAGTGTCCCAAACTAATTAAAATGGTGCGTCCATATCCTAGGCTAATAGAAAAGTTAAGTTTGACTGTTACCTTGTTGATTCTGTTGAAGGTTGACTGAAAAATCTTACGTGACGGACACACAAGCGTCTGATGTGTATTATTTTGATTGAAAATTTAATTTATTTCCTTCTCTTCTAACATTTATTTTCTGCCATTTTTTAAACTTAAAAAAAAAAAGACCACCGATCTACTTTCTTAAATCCTGGTACAAGTACCAACCATTTAATCATATCCTCGTCTTTAACATTTATCCCATTTATTCACCACTCCAATTTGAAACTGCAACTGCCATCACAACACACTACCAATCCTATCGTCGTTTGTTGATGCTTATATTTCATATTATTTTTAAATTCTGAATACATTTTGTAATTATTTATTCTTTTTTTCATATTATATTACATATGTACTGTAAATTTTATTATGATTATTTTTTAGTGAAGAAATAAAAATATTTATGAAATAATAATAAATAAAAATGAGTGGAAACTGATTTGGTAGAAAAAAATAAATTAGATGAGAAAAGAAAATTAAAAAATCTCTCACTTACTAGTAAGAACTTTCTGAGAGCACCCTCAACTATTTTCTCATCTCTGTCTTGGAGGAACCCACTTGAGGCGGAAGTCAAGAGGAAGCAAAGGAGTTTGACTTTGAAAACAGTGTAGTTTTAAGGCATCCGAGGGGGCACCGGATGGGAGAGGCAGCGGAGAGAAGCGAAACACCAGAATTAAAGAGTTAGATCCAAGCACGCTTTGACCTCGACAAATCAATGTATTTTATTGACTTTTCAGTTGCGTGTGGGTTGGGTGCATTGTACAAAGTTTAAGAAACAAGTCGTACTATTTAATACTTCTCCGGTTGTTAATATAAAACCTAATTTTGAGTTAGTTTTGATTTTAAATATAAAACCCATTTCAGATATTTATCAATTTTTTTAAAATTACCCCCATGCATACTCTTTCACCATAATCAAGTAAAGATGGAGAGTGGATATAAGAAAGATGGTTATGGTATTTTAGGAAAAATGTGTCACTTTTCTTATAATTAAGTAACTTACCTAACTTTCTTAATCTAATCAAATTAGTTAAATAGGTCTTATATTAAGGATCGGATGAGTAATTAAATATTTTATGTACTTAACATGAAGATTAGATAACTAATTTGCAGGTAATATATATGGTTAAGTTAATTATTATTCAT